AAGTTCTCCAACTCTCCCTCAATCACTAAACCTCTCAGCTCTTACTCTACTCTTCTCACTTTACTTCTCCTACTCCACCTTTCCCACACTCACTCCAACTCTCCCTATCCCCTGTTCCTACACGGTCCAATTTCCGGGTTCGAGCAACTACCGCCTCTCTCTCCTCACCTCTCTCATCACCTCTCTCTCCTCAACCTCTCTCATCACCTCTCTCCTCACCCCTCTCATCACATGTCTCATCACCTTTCTCATCACCTCTCTCATCACCTCTCTCATCACCTCTCTCCTCACCTCTCTCCTCACCTCTCTCCTCACCTCTCCTCATCCTCCTCTTCACCTCTCCTCACCTCCCTCTCATCACCCATCTCATCACCTTTCTCATCACCTCTGTCATCACCTCTCTCATCACCTCTATCTTCACCTCTCCTCACCTCTCTCATCACCTTTCTCATCACCTGTCTCATCACCTCTCTCATCACCTCTCTCATCACCTCTCTCCTCACCTCTCTCTTCACCTCTCTCATCGCCTCTCTGATCACCTCCCCTCACCTTTCTCGTTAAATTAAACAAATTAAACAAATATAAAAAATATAAAAGATGATAATTATATCCAAACGATATCAAAATAAAAACATATAAACCGGTGGATAAATTTATTCTAAAACGGCAGAAATAAAATACAAATTGCTGTCGCCAAATCATTCGGGATTTTTCATGAGAAGGTTTAATGCTTTTCGCGATGGTCATTAAATACCAATTATCATAAATTTTCACTTAATGTTTGATTAAACACGTCATTAAGGCCAATAGCTTCACCTGGGCATTGGCAGGAGGGAGAGAGGGGAAGGGAGAGAGAAGGGGCGGGAGGGAGAGAAGAAGAGGGAGAAGGAGAAGGACATTTTTTTATTATGTATCGAAAACAACTTCTTGATAAATTCTTGAATAGTTTTATAATTTACAATATACGGTTATGGCTAATTTGATGTCACTTTTTAATTAATAACTAGTGCCACTTTGACTGTAGAATTTGTGCCTTAAAATGTTCGATTTTTTTCACTCTAAGACAAATTGTTCAGACTCTTGCACTCTTAGAGAATTCATCACATTTCTTGCACTCTGCGACAAATGTTTCCAATTTCTGGCATCTTAGTACAAAATATCATTGTCACTCTGGACCTATTCACACTTTTAATCAGAAAACAAACGGGTTAATTTCACTTTAAAAGGGAGGAAGATTTTGAGTTAGGCGTCTCACTTAACTTAATTAGAAATACTTATTTTAGAGAAACGAATTGTGGCCATTTTACGTGTGTGTGTGTGTGTGTGTGCAGAGATTGTATGAATATAATTACGAATCTGTGTATTTATGTACGTATCAGCCTGTGCATATACACCTGTATGTGTATGTATGTATATATGTCAATATATATTTGAATGTATATCTAGTCAATCACATTGCAATTAAACCACAAATTTAAGCAAAAATTTGTAATTAGCTGCAACAGAGAACTTCACGGGTCACTATTAATTCCTCTTAGTCTCAGGTCACTCGTGCGAATTGTGCGACAGCGGGAAGGAACTGGATATCATATGAAAGTAGAGAGGAACAAATGAAGGGTGCGAGAGTAGGAGAGGAAACAAAGTGTTGTGTGAAAGTAATGAGAAATTTGATGTTGTGTGTAATAATAAGATAAAACTGGAAAACCAGGGTGCAACAGTAAACAAGATCCCTAAATATAGTGCGAATGTACTAAGAAGGCAGGAATAGTGTGCGGCTATACATCAAAACTCAACTAAATGTGAAAGTAAATAAAAAAAACGTGTGAAAGTACTATGTTTAGAATATAATAATACTTAACTCATGTGCGATAGTAGGGGAAAACTTATCGTGCGAGAGTATTATGACAACCTGCTGCTGTGTGCGATAGTGTGAAGAAACTTGATGACCGTGCAACAGTAGAGCGGTACTGAGTATTGTGCGAAAGTGAACGGATAAGGGTAGGTGAGCAACGCATGAGAGAATGGAGAGAGTGAGAGAGAGGATGGGGTGGACAGTGAGAGAAACCCGTGAGAGGTGCGGACACACGTGCTGTCGACCGTAGACTGAGTGGAAGAGCTGTCTCAACCACGACTATACCCCCAACTCTCCTGCGACATTTTCTAAATATCACTAACGATATACCAAGAGGGTATGAATCGTAAGCCACTTATTAATACTTTTATAAGTATCTTGTCCCAAGTACTTCGACTTAAATAGCAAGTTAATTTTTTACTCGACAAGTTCAAACAAATCTTAGGGAAAAAGTTCCCGATTTCAGTATTATTTTAGGTTCCTTGTGTGTGTATGTGTAAGTCTGGTTATTAACTGTAGTTGTGCTTTATTAGTCTGTCTGTGTGTTGGTAATTTTGCTGTTCTTTCTAATTTATATAACATTCATCTCAGTAATTCTGGTGTTTTTGCCCAGTCTGTGCTACAATAGTATGTACACAACTTACGTGTAAGGTTTCAATAAAATCTGGCAAATGGTACGTCAGTCATCGTGCGGACACCATTTGTCTACGGACGGACGGGCGGACAGACAGACAGACGGACGGACTACCTTAAATCAATTCATTGCAGATGGACGAGAATTTGCTTCCTATAAAAAGTCTGGGTTGGGTGCTGCTGCTGTTGGGTTGGGCTGGGCAGGCAAGAGGAAGAGTGACACTGTGGAAATTGGAGAAACAAGACCGTGCTGAAACGTTTGTAAATTGAGCATCCCTGTGTGTGTGTGTGTGTGTGTGTGTGTGTCATCCGTACATAGAAATAACAGCAACAGATACGCAGCAGTGAACGTAACAACAAAAACAAGAGACGAGAGAGAATACCCAGCGGGAACTCTTCATTAGTCAAGCAATTTACAAACTGTTGGTGTTGGTACAATGTTTTGTTGCTTTAAAAGAGGAGGTGAGGTGGCACAAGGACCTACCCTCACACATTACCCACTTCCCCCCTTATCCATTACCCCCACACCCCTCCTTCATCACCTTACCTACTCTACCCTTTATCCACTACCCCTAATCCCTCCTTATGATCCCCCATACCCCTCCCCCCACCAGGAGCCCCACCAGCCCCCTCTACCTAGCCTCCCTTCTATCATATTATTTTCGTTATTCATCAATAAGTAATTCAGGTACAAATTGCATTACCGTCATCTCGTTTTGTACACTGTGAAAGTTACAGTAAGTTACAGGTACAAAATACAGGTACAGCTATATAGAGATTTGAAGACAAGTGTACACCATTATTATGCAATCACAGAATGTTATTGTTATTTTACATTTGCTTAAACACACACAGAAATTGGAGTAACAATTCTCTCTCTCTCTCTCTCTCTCTCTCTGGTAAATGAAAAAAAAAGGAAAATTGACAGCTAATTCCTTCCCCTGTCACCCATGATAAAGCTTACACCTGCAGTGCCACTTCTCCCGTGCACACTGCCTGGACTCAGATCAATAGGAAGAGCGAGGCGAAATTCGTCTCCTACCTGTAATTAAGAAACACCTTTGTCGATCAGCAGACAAAGGGCGTTGGTTGTCTAGGCGTTGGCATAGTTGAAAGTCTGGATCTCTCTCTCTCTCTCTCTCTCTCTCTCTCTCTCTCAGCCAAAATCACTAGGTCTAACAGGTTGATATATGAAATAATAAGCTCTTAACGTGCAAACTTTTTCCGCCACAAGTTTGTCATCGCTGGCAGGGAAATAATCGATACAGCATTTATCCGTCAACATAATTCTTCCTTCAAACTGTGGCGAGATGAGTAACTCAGATTCATTTTAATAAGCAAATGTATTAAATGGATCACATAAATATTAGGCACCTAGTTTATTGTACACGAACAGAAACACCCCTAACGCTACCTTGGAAGGGGGGGGGGGTGCTCTATCTTCGGGTGAAATAAGCTTGGGGGCCAAGATCTGAGACGGATAGATACGATGCGTCGCTTTCTACTGTGTGTGTGTGTGTGTGTGTGTGTGTGCGCTCAATGTTAACAAGACCAAGGCGTTTATGACCACCGTGATTATGACACCAGCAGGAGTAAGACCATACACTAGTATATATCATTTTGTATTTTATTTCGTGTGTTATACAACTGTGAGCGACACCATTCATATTTGTCGGATTTTTTAATTTATTCAACCAAAAATACAGATAATGGACTTATGACAAACATTAATGCTCGTATTTCCTTATAAAGAGGAGAATAAATGGAAAAGGAAGAAGAGGAAAAGTAAGAAGAGGAGGAAGTGGAAGAGGAGGCGGAATAGTTAGAGATAGAAGGGGAGGAGGAAATGGAAGAGAAAGAGAAGTGGGAAGAGGAAGAAGAAGATGAAGAGGAAGAGAACTGAATCAAGAAGACGATGAAAAAGATCCACAATGGACTGTATAAATCACTTGACCAGCGCGGCGTGACTGGCCACCAGTAGTGTTGTTATACGAGTCTATGGCGGCTGTTTTGGTGCTGTTGTGGGCGTAGAATATTGTGTAGTGTACAGCGCCGGGAGAACTGTCTCTTGATGGGTAAAACGTGATTTATGGTGGGGGAGGATATGTTTGTTGGGAATAACGTGTTGTATGGTGGGGGAGGATATGTTTGTTGGGTATAACGTGTTGTATGGTGGGGGAGGATATGTTTGTTGGGAATAACGTGTTGTATGGAGGGGGAGGATATGTTTGTTGGGAATAACGTGTTGTATGGTGGGGGAGGATATGTTTGTTGGGTATAACGTGTTGTATGGTGGGGGAGGATATGTTTGTTGGGTATAACGTGTTGTATGGTGGGGGAGGATATGTTTGTTGGGAATAACGTGTTGTATGGTGGGGAGGATATGTTTGTTGGGTATAACGTGTTGGTATGGTGGGGGAGGATATGTTTTGTTGGGTATAACGTGTTGCGGCGTTGGGGGAGTGATATGTTTGTTGGGAATAACGTGTTGTGGCGTTGGGGGAGTGATGGCGTT